CCTGTACCAGCACAGGTACGGCTCATCAAGGGCCCCACGGGCGCCATCATACACTCACTGCTGCGCCTGGGGTGGCACCCCCAGGACCCATCGACATGGTCATACCCGACAGGTCCCGACAGCAGCGAGGAGTGGCAATTCCCAGACACCATCTACACGGGCAGTCCACACATTGACCGACACGACGACCTCCTGGCAGATGTGCGCGCGGCATGTGAGTCCCAACTCTGGACTCAAGCCGCCAAGCACTTCTGCGGAGGCGGCCTGGAGATGGGAGTAGACAGTGCATCATACATCCAGCTGCTGAAGCACATGTCCCAGGTACCGAATGGGAAGAGGCTATGTGAGATCATGGTCATGGTTGCTGCAGGGGACATATGGAATAAGCAACGGAAAGTGCAGGAGCTCACGAACTACCAAGGCACGGATAAGTGCGACAGGTGCGGCACGGACGTGGAGACCCCGCTCCACAGATATTGGCAGTGCGTGCGCAACGTTGGTGCGAAGCCATACGACGACTCGGCCGATCTGTGCACACAAGCAGTCACCCGATGCAACACGGCCGAGGCTTTCTGGCTGCGCGGGCTCCTCCCCGCACCTTGGAACGGAGGTGAGCCCACCTCCGACCACCGAGGCCTGGCAGTTCACGGGTGGGCAAGAGCTGGCGCCTGGCATGTTTGGGCCAGGTACCGCCGCCAACCCTGTGCTTGTGTTTGGCGACGCCAGCGGGGGCCCAGACAGTCGATGCCCCAGGCTACTCCGAGTCGGTTTGGCCACTGCATGTTTCGAGAGCTTGTTACTCGTCTGTCCCAGAGGGTCTATCTGCGGACCTCTGTGTGGACGGAGACAGGTGGTGGCGAGAGGAGAGCTCAAGTGCCTGCAGTTGGCACTGTGGGCCACCACCCACCACCTCAAATTTGTCATCGAGTTTGGGGATGTTGTCACGGGATGGTATGAGCAGAGGTTCTGCCACCCCAAAGGAGCTGATGCGGACATATGATCGGCCATCGGACAGATCATGGCTATCCGTCCCACCGAGCATGTTTCTGTTATTTTCACTCAGTCTCATCTCTCGGCTGCCCAGATGGCCAGAGGTGAGGGTATCAAGCAACTCATCATCGGCAGTGCAGTTGTCGACGAGCTGGCAGGCCTAGCAACCGCACAGGCCAGCACATCCGAGGCCGAGAGACACCGCCTCCTGCTGCATGAGCGACGTGCACGTTTGGTGCGCCTCAGACTCTTGCGGGCGGCAGTCGACTGCCTGGCCAAGGAGAAGGAACTGGAAAAGCAGTGCGACGGAAAAAGGCGTCGTGGCGTGCTGTCTCCTCCCCCTCCGCCTCCTCCTGCTGCCGCGTCAGTCGCGGCCCTGATGTCGAGGCATGTGTTGACCGACTGCAAAAAGAGACGCACGAGATGCCGAGGCTCTGCGACCGTGGTCACCATGAAAGAATGGCATTCCACAGCGTGCCCCGATTTAGTGAATGTGAATGGTCTCATCGCCTCCCCTCCAGTCGGAGGGCGTGTACGTCGGGGGGGCTGGCTGCACACTTCACACCACCTCAACGTGCATGTTGTCTTGAATTGTTTGTTCTGTGGGAGGTGCGGGGCCACGGCTGACAATCAGCTGCGTGCCCTAGCCAAGCCCTGCTCGGGCATCCTCACCCCCACGGGACGTCAATACCTCAGGAGAATTGGGCTACCCCCGAAGGTCCTCAGCAAGGCCAAATTAGCCCAGCGAGGTCGGGGGTAGAATCGGTTGGGATTGGCATCGCCATCGGTTCCTACTCCTACTCCTACTCCTACACCCACTGTGCCCACCACTGTCCCACTGTCTCACCACTGTCCCACTCTGCTGTCCCACCGTCCCCACTGTCCCCACCACTGTCCCAATGTCCCCACCACTCTCCCCACTGCACCACTGTCCCACCACTGTCCTCACCACCACCTTCACCACTGTCCCCACCACTACCATCCCCACCACTGTCCCACTGTACCCACCACTGTCCCGCTGTCCCATCACCACTGTCCCCACCACCACCGTCCCCACCACTGTCCGCACCACTGTCCAACTGTCCCCGCACCACTGTCCCTGCACCACTGTCCCCACCACCGTTCCCACCACTGTCCCAGTATCCCCACAATTGTCCAAATGTCCCGAGGAGCGGGAATCGTTTGCCGGCGGCGAGAGGGAGGGGGGTCGAACCGGTAGTGACCCCCCCAGTTTTCGAGGGGGGGTGTCGAACCGGTAGTAAAACCCCCCCCTTTTCATGATGGACTGGGGGGGGGGAGGGAGGGGTTCGAACCTGTAGTGACCCCCCCCCACGGTTTTCGAGGGGGGGGGGGACGGGTTGGGAACCCCCAGTGACCCCCCCCCGGTTTTCCGCCAGCAGCGGTAGAACACGCCCTTTCTTAGATCATAAGCCCGATGTGTTAAAACAAGGCCGTCTTAGCCAGAAATGTTCTGAGACCATTTCGTGCAGACCGCAAAAGGTTCTTAGAACATTCATTGGTCGGCCTAGGGGCGCACTGGGACGCTTCGCCACTGCTCGACTCCCGGGGGTCCCTGGCCCCCTAAGACAGCCCAAGAGGCGCCCCAAGCGGCCCAAGTCGGGGATGGACAGACCCCCCTTTAGTAAAACGTGGTTTAGCGAAAACGCCCTCGGGCCCAAACCTGGCGGGCGCAAGCCTGGAAAATAACGGCCACGGCGCCCTCTCGAGAACCGAAAACGGACAATTCACTAATCGACGTGTCACTGTTGGGGGTTCTGTCCATCCCCGACCAAGGGGGCCTCAAGAGGGCCCCCAAAAGGGGCCCAGAGAGAGAGCACGAACACGGATCCGGACTCCGAGTTCTCAGATCTCCCGGGGCCCGCCGCGTGCCCCGGTGGATCTTCCCGCGAGGTCCCTGGGGCTGCCCGCGTGCCCCCCTGGGCTCCCCCTCCGCACCTCGTCGCGTGACTTTTGGGGGCCCAAGGGGGCCCCAAGACGGACCAAGACCGCCTCGGGAGGCCCCGCGAGACCACCCAAGAGGCCCCGAGTCGCCCAAAGAGCGCCCCAAGACGCGCCAAGATGGCCCCCAGACGGCCCAAGAGGCCCCCAAGACGATCCAAGAGTTCTCGAAGAGGCCTCCCAAGAGGGCCCCGAGAGGCCAAACTTATAAATTGTCCTGGTGTTTGAAAAATGTTGGCGTTCTTGCCGTTTCGGCTTTACGATGCTCCCAGACGGCCTCCAAGTCGGCCCCAAGACGGCCCAAGAAAGCCCCAAGACTGCCCAAGAGGCGCCCAAAACAGCCAAAGGGGGCCCCAAGACGGCCCCAGAAGGGGCCCCAGAGAGGGAACACGAACCGAAACTCCAAGCCTTTCGTTTCTGTTCGGCGTTCCGACGGCGCGACACGGCCCAAGAGCCCCCACAGATGGCCCAAGAGGCTTCCAAGACGGCCCCAGACCGGCCCACAAGACTGCCCTAAGAGCCCCAAGACGGCCCAAGAGGCCTCCAAGACGCCCAAGATGGGCTCCAAGATGGCCCTGGAGCACCCCAAGAGAGCCCCAAGTCGGCCCAGAGAGTTCCCGAAGACGGTTTCCGACGGCGTCAGACGGGCCAGGAATGTACTAAGACGGACAAAGGGGCCCCCAAGCCCCCAAAGGCACCCAAGAGGCCCAAGGAGGCCCCCAAGGTGCCTCCAAGAGGCTCCAGGGAAGCTCCCAGGAGGCCCCAAGAGTGCCCCCAGAGGCTCCCAAGATGCCCCTCCTCCTCCTCCTCCTCCTCCTTCTTCCTCTTCCTCCTGCTGATCTTCCCCGCCATCCTTCCCCAAATGTTTCCCGAAGGGTTTCCACAACGGCTGGGGGAGCACATGTCCGATAGCTTGGAAGAGGTCTTGCCACAACGCTCGGCCACATGGGCGATTCCAAAAGGCAGGGGGCGGCGGAAATTCTCCGCAGGCGTCTGAGTTCTTTACAAATTCAGGTATGAAATGAAGCGAAGGGAGAGCTAGATAGAGAGAGAGGGACAGAGAGAGAAACCCAGATGTCCGACGCTCCAACAAAAATTGAAGCGGACAGTGTCTGGCAGTTTTCGGCCCCTGGGGGCCCTCGCTAGGCTTCGGGAGCGTCAGAAAACGAATCAGGACAGAAAAACACTTGAGCGGCCGGATGTCACGGGATATATATATATAGAGAGAGAGAGAGAGAGAGAGAGAGAGAGAGAGAGAGAGAGAGACAGAGACAAACAGAAAGAGAGAGAGAGAGAGAGACGGCGATCGAACAACACACATACCCATAGGGTGGACGGACGGGCCTGTGGGTGCGTGCTGTCGGGTGTGCGCTCTCCATCCGTCAAGAGATTGAGCAGGGACAGACCGTCCCGGCACCCCTAGAGGCCTACCACGACATGTTCTTAGAACCCCAGCACGTTCCAAGGACAGAAGCGATGCTCCTAGAACGTGCCCCCGACGTGTTCGAAGCGGACGGCCCCAGCCAGAGATCTTCCGAGAACGTGTCGTGGGAACCGCACGAGGTTCTGAGAGCCCTCTTCGACAGGCCCGTGGGCACGCCAGGACGCTTCGCCGCTGCCTGACGCCCAGAGCTCACCCACGGCCTCGCTCTCGACGACCTCGCGCCTGCCTGCGCGGTCTGGGCCGCGCCGCCGGCGGTCCTCGGGCGGCCCTCGGGCGGTGCCCGTGGCCACGCCCTCCCCCGTCTGCAGCCTGCAGGCTCTGGGCGCTGCCGACCGCCTGCCTGTAGGTCCATCCTGACAGGCACTTCGCTCGCTCGGGAGCGGCCAAGGGGGGGGTGTCCAAGAGGGGGGGCGCAAATCATGGCCGGCGGCAGGTGCGCGGCGCGGCCCAGGGGGGGGCCGGGCACGTCTTAAAACAAGACGAGGCGCCATGAAATCTGGGGAGATCTGGGGAACTATCATGGCCCCCGCCATGATATCCCCCCCCCCCCCCTGGTCATCACCCCCCGCTTTGCCGCCCCCGACCCGCCCGCAGGCCGAGGGGCCGCCTTCAGGCTCGCGAGGCTGCTCTCCGGGAAGCCGGAGAAGCGGAGCATGCCGACCTCGTCCTGGGCGAGGCGCGGCTGGAAGGGGGCCGCGGGCGAGGCGAGCCGGGCCCGCGGGGAGGGGCGCGGGCCCGGCCCCCCCCTTGCGAGGAGAGAAATGATCCATACCCACCGCCCGCGAACCGACGTCCTGGTGCCCCAGCGGGCGGTGGCTATGGATGTATTTTGGCCCCCGAGGGCCCGAATCTATTCATCTCCACCGCCTGTGGAGGTCCGCGAAGACTGATCCCCCAGGCGGTGGATGTGGATCAATCCCCGCCTCGGACCCCTCTCGAGTCAGGAGCCGGAGCAGGACGGAGGGCGCTTCGCTGTCGTCGGCCTCCAGGGGGCCCTCGCCCGGGCCTCGGGATGAGAGCTGGTCCCGGGGGCTGGGTTGAGGCCTCTGGGGGCCAGCGCTGCGGGCAAAATCCTGGCGTCGGGGGTCTGGGGGGAGGGTGACGGGCAAATGGTCCACCACCGCTAACAGATGTAGGACGGGAGAGAAGGGGGGATGAGGAGGTCTTCCTCCTTCCTCCTCCTCCTTCTCCTTCCTTTGGTAGTGATGGTGGAAAATGGGCCCATCAGAGGGAGGGGGGCGCAGGGTGAGGACGAGGGCGCGCACGCAACGATGGAAAGGGCAGGTGTCGATTTCAGCTCTGGGGCGGAAGGGCGTGGCGCAGTGGGACCACTTCTGTCGCCCCTCCTCCCGACCAACTGGGAACAACACGCCCAGTAGAACCCCCCCACAAAAAAATCCTACCCTGAGACCACAGGACGCCCATTATCCATTATTTCTTGGTGTGGGAACGTCGCGCTTTCCACCACAAGCCGTCGAAACCCAAGAAACCCAGGGCACCCTGGAGGCAAGCAGGGTGTTTATTGGCATGGGCCTCCACTGAAGAAGGGAGAGCGGGGCGTGGTAGCCTAGACCAGGAAGGCGAGGGAGGGAGGAGAGGATAAGTCGATGGACAGGAAGGGGACCAGGGAGGAAAGAGGGAGGGAGGAGAGGCGCCAATGCGAGCGAATATGAATGTGAGCAGGTGCTTCCCCCGTACAAACCTACCAACTGCAAGGCCCAAGTTGGATGATGGGGCCAGTACACATCGTCGCGCCCCCTTCGGGGCCAAGGCGATCAGCCGCGGAGCACTCTCATCCAGACACTCCGCCAACCTCCCCGACGAAGGGAGGCCAGGCCCTGAGAACACAGGCAGCCCAACGCAGCAAAACCAGAGGAAGGCGGGACGCGCGTAAGCGCAGGAACGACCGAAACGAAACAAAAGCGAAGCAACATCTAAGGCCTGGGACGACATACTCAGTACAGCGCCTCGTGGCCCCACAGCCAACTCTAAACGAGGAGAGGATAAGTCGATGGACAGGAAGGAGACCAGGGAGGACCGAGGGCGGAAGAGGGGAGAAGCCGACGGATAGGAAGGGGACCAGGGAGGAACGAGGGCGGGAGGAGAGGAGGAACACGCAGGCCAGGCGCGCTCGCGCCCTGTCTGACATCGAACTACTCTCGCCCACCACCCCTTCCCGTTGTGCTGGCTCTCTTCTGCCCGCCGACGGGGGTGCTGCAGGAGACGCGCATCCCCCCCCGACGACGCCATCGTCTGGTGCGCAGTCTGGCAGGGGGGGGCTCTGCATTTTGGACGCGGAAAGGGGGCGGTGGCGGAGGAAACGGCGGAAGTTTTTTGGGGAAATGTTGAAGAGAAGAGGGAACTTGTAGGCGACGCGAATCTGGGGCGCAATCAGACAGGGGGGGGCTCTGCATCTTGGACGCGGAAAGGGGGCGGTTGCGGAGGAGCTGGCGGAAGCTCTCTGGGGGAAGTTTGGAGAGAAGACGAAGGAAGAAGAGTTTAAGGAATTTGGGAATTTGGGGAGTTTGGGAGAGAAGAGGAGGATGCCCAGCGAGGACGCGCGTGGGAGTGCTGGGGATGGAGGAGAAGCGGCGGCGAGCCCGGGGGGGGGGAAGGAAGCGAGGAAGGGGCGGGCCCTCTCTGGAGGCTCGGGAGTCCCCCGGGCCCTCTGAGGGCGTGGTCGAAGCCTTCCCCGACGACAGCAGGAACGCCTCGGAAGGCCCGAGGCCTCCTGAGAGGCCCCGCCGCCTTCTGGGGAGGCCCTCTCCTTTTCGATGCCCCCCCCCCCCCCGCTCGCCGCCGAGAGGAGGGAGGACGAGACGCAGCGGGAGCAGTGCAGCGGAGGCCAGTCCACAAGAGACTTCCCACAAGAAACCTGACCCTGATTCTTGGTGTGGGAACGCCACGCTCTCCATCGCGAAGCCATCGAAGCCCAATAAGCCCAGGGCACCCTGGAGGCAAGCAGGGAGTTTCTTGGCATCGGTCTTCACTGTCTTGAAGAAGGAACAACTGCATAAACGTAAACTTGTGGCGGTCCGCGCGGGGTCCCCGTCTCTGGCGCGCGGAGCGCGCCAGAGGCGGCGACGGAGGCCGCCAAGGGGGGGGGGCAGCTTATGTTATGGCGGAGCGCCACAAATTCATGTGTATGGCGTCTGTTCTTCTCCTACGGCGGGAGAAGATGCGGGAGGGGAGCAACCGCTCCGCCTGCCGCCAGCCACCCCGTGCGGAGGAGGAGAACCACAAACCACAGGGAAGGCGGTGCCCCCCCCCCGCCCTCTGGGGGCCAGGGCCTCGCGCAGGGCGGCCCCCTGGGCCGTGGGCAAGGCCACCGGGGGCTCTTTGGAAACCCGCATGCTCTCGGGCATCCACTGGCGTTAGGTCGGGCATGTCCTCCTATAGGCGGAATTGGGAAGAAAAATGCAAACTGGTTAGAAATAGTCAACAATTTTAGGGATGAGAAAGCGCCCCTGCCCTGGCTTACAAGTGCGTGGTCTATAAACACCCTGGGAGCTCCCAAATGCCAGAGAGCCGCCAGGACGCCGCGCGACACGCGCGATACGCAGGGTTTACCCTGTCAGCCCACAGGAGGTTCAGCGCACAGCGCCACGTAAACCAAGGTAGGGGCGTTTTAAGCCCTTGAAACAGGTCATGAAGAATCGTTCCCAGACTACTTTTCACTATTCTCGAATACAACTCCTGTAGAGGGGCCTGCCCGACCTAACACCAGCGCTGACTCGAAGCACGAACGACGCGGCGATGTCCAAGAAGGTACCGAAACCATAAACAACACGAACCGCCGAGCGGAACTACACACACAGGCACGCTTACGCATTCGTGCAAACGCACTTGATACACAACGCATGCGGGAAAGCACGCAGAAATTACACACACGCACACGAATGCGCACTCCTCACACACTCACGCACGACCATGCGGGCACCACACGATCCAATCTGGATGCCGCATAGATCCAGCTGGATCGAATCCGTGGGCACCAGTGGGATCCGTTGGGATGATGGGAGTGCGCCACCGTGCCCTCGGCTCGCCTGGGCGTGCCAAACTGCGGGCTGGTCGGCCGACAGGGCTCCCGCTGCTGCTGCCGCCAAAGAGGCCGACCCCCACCCTTCGGGGTGCGCGGGGCCAGCGCCCCCCACCTTCGCCCCCACTGGCCCCCCTTCTCGGCCGCAGGACGGCCAAGGCCGCCCCGGCCACGGCTCCCAGATGCCCCAGGACAAGCTCGGCCAGAACCCAGCGACATTCCCAGAGCTTCCAGGGTGCCCCAGGAAGTCCCGCTCAGGCCACGGGCCGGCCGAACAAGAACCGACGGAGACCGATCCCGCTACTCCCGGACCTCGCACGGGGAGCGTTCTGACCAGAATCTTGAGGCGAATCCCAGCCGTGGCGGCGCGAGCCTCCCAGGAGGCCCAACAAGACGCAAGCAAGCCAAGGGTAGGGGTATATGTACCTTGCCCTCTCTTGATCAGCAGTCCCCCCGGCGGCACGACCCAGAGTCAGCACCAGGTCAGCCCGAGGACTCCTCCAGGACAGCCCAGGGTTGCTCCCATGGGGGCTCCAAGACGGCCCGGCGGTCCGCCCCGACGGCCCCCTAGATGAGTCCACCGAGCTGATTCGGGAAAGGCGCAGTGGAGACGCTGAAAGAAGGACCAGTTTGTGCTCTGGAGGGGCTCTCATGTTCGGGCCGTTACTTTGATCCCCTTGGGGGGCAGTCTTCTTTATCCTCCTCCTCCTCCTCCTCCTCCTCCTCCTCCTCCCTCCTCTGTTCGGGGCACCTATTCGTGGCCGAGCCATGGCCAGAAAAACGCCCTCGCTCCTTAGTCAATGCCCCGTATGGCAGCAGGATGACCTTAGGCGAATGGATCGCGTCCAAGACGGCCCGACGATTCCCCAAAAGGCATCCAAGAGGGCCCCCAGAGGCTCCCAAGACGACCCAGAGAGGAAGAGACAGAAATCTCCCAAACCCCCCTGGGAAACTAACGCGAGATCGATGCGACATATTACAGCCACGCGGCTCCATGACTGCCCCTGCATTGACCTACGCAACGTTGAGGAATAATCGTTCTTCGCAAGCCAACCGGAAGAGAGAGAATGCTTCAGGAACGGACCGCCTGCATTACATCGGATCCGGCTTCAAAGAAAACCGTCTCCAGAGCTCCCCTTGTGAAGGCAGCCGCAAAAGAGTGGACTGAGCACGGGGGACGGACGTCACATCAGATGCCTAGACGGTGCGTGGATGAACACGGCAAGCCGTACGATTGTACCTAGCACCCCGCAGTTGCGGACAAGAGTAAAAGGGGACAGCGGGGACCTCGGCAGTCTGCGAGGCTCTGAAGAAGCCCGCCGCAGGCGCCAAGCTTTTTAACAACTTATGCAACGAGACCGCCGCAGGCCGCGGGGTCGCGGAATGCATCACTGGGGGGTCGCGGGTGAATCGCGAGGGGGTCGTGAACTGGTCGCGGGCCGGGTCGCGGGTGTGTCGCGGGTGTCGCGGGTGGGTCGCAGGCCCGGGTCGCTGGGCGGACGACCATAACAAACAACAACATACACCAAGCAACAAGCAACAATCAACAAACAACAAACAACAGCACCAAACAACAAACAACAAACAACAAACACCAAACACCGAACACCAAACAACACACAACAACCAA